ACTTAACAAAGTTAGATTAGTGGACTTTACCTGAAGTAGATTCAACCTTATTGACTTTAACATCCTTAGGTAAATTTGGCAGCTTCGCAAATAATGACCCTTCCTTTTGGCAATATAAACATATGGACCCTTTGATAATGGTACACGGGACTATCACAGGCTTAGCTTTTCTCTTTACCATTTGTTCAACCGAGTTGACTATGGCCGATCCCTTTCCATTGGGAAGAGAATGCTTTTTCTGTATTTCCAGTGTCACCATTGTCAATGTCCATAAAGTTTCAGGAAGTTGATCTTAACAATAGATAAGATCATTAAGGGTCTTGTCATAGTCTATTTCATAGGTGTTCCAAAAGAACTCACTATGTGACTTAGAAAGTAGTTGAACCACCAACTTTCTCAAGACTTTGACACCCAACTCTCCCGGCTTGTCAATATGTGACTACATCTCCAAGATGTGACCACACCTAGACCTTACTTGCCAATAGGGCTCGAGTGACCTTAAACTTTTCAAGAACTTGTGGGTAGGGAGAATAATTGGAGGAGGTGAAAGAAGTATGATTTCCATGGACATCATCTTCATTTAGGAAAGCTTGTTTCAAGAGATTTGGGAAGATCATAAATGTCTAAACCAGACATGTTTTGGGAGATATTCAAGATAGTTGATCTTAAAGTCCTTAATATGACACCCAATATGAAATATTAAGGCTAGGACCCAACAAACTATTTTATAACTTAGAAGAGGTATGCCGTAATCCAAGCTATAACAATATTTGAAGGTAGGTGAATGACGATTCACCAATTTCCACCAAGATAAACGAAATGTATTATTAGGTTTTAATTGGATTTGAAACTCCTAGATCTTTTGAGATTCATTGAACTGTTCAATGGCATGTTTCAATCTCGAGTGTGCCCTTCAGGTTTTGTGACTGGGATGCCGAGGATCACAAAACAAGGTGTGAAGTAACCATGCAAATTACTTGGTACCCTTAAGTGTTTACCCCTCAATCGATGTGCCGGTTAACCACACACGCTCCATCGATACTATGATAAACATTAAGTTACCCTTTGCCTACCTTGTTAAATACGAGTTAGTGTGCCGGTTAACCACACACGCTCCACTAACCGACTTAAACAAAGTGCAAAGTGTAATTTCATGGATTAGCACCTTATTCACATTTTCCTAAGTAACTAAGATTGGGAATTATTAAGAGTTTAGTTACTTAGTATTTATCATTAATACTTTTAATGAAGGGAGAATTATAGTCCTGTCAAACCCGTTCGGCTAACGACCCTCCACCAGTCAAGCAAGCGGTGGGTGAGAGTGGACACCCATTAAGTTGCCATTTTATAGGCAACAACCTTATACCCACCTTATAGACCGGCTTCGTGAATGAGGCGTACTAGCGGTAAGACCGACTTTACTCTTATATATATATATATATATATATATATATATATATATATATATATATATATATATATATATATATATATATATATATATTATTAACTTATAATATTATAAAGTATAAGGGTTGAATTTTAACTTTTAAAATTCTAAGGGCTAACTTGGAATTAAAGTATTCATAAGAGAAAACTTTACAAATTCCAAAACTTGAGGGCAAGTTTTGAAACTATTCAAAACTAATTAATTTCATAACTTATGTATTTAAAGTAGTTTTAATCCAAAAACTCTTCAAGTTCCATAACTTGTGGACAAATTATGGAAGACTTTAAACTAATAAAGAATTAACCTTTTCTTTATTTTATAACTTATGGAATTAATTAAGGTTACATATTTTATTTATTTATTTATTAATGAAGTGACTCTTGAACCTCCATAACTTAAGGACAAGACTCTTCATCTTTTGTAACCATTGCCAACTTTTATGAGTTTTTATGAAACTTAAATGTGACTCTTCATATAACTTGAGGACAAGTTACAAAAACACATTTTAGAATCAACTCTTAGATTAATTTGGATTGAAAACAATTTTTCACTGAACTTTTCTATTAATCTAAGCAACTCATAAGAACAAGATAATTCAAATCAAACTTTTTCATGTAATTAGTCTAACCTTTAAACTAATACAAAACATGAATCTATTGACAATTATCTTTGAAAATGGATTAGCATGAACATTACCACATTAAAAAACAAGTTTATAAGTTCAAAACAATTTAGGGTAATGTTCCTAGTCCATTTCTAGCCAAAACCCTCGAAGATATGCTGTCTGGGGTCCAACTCGTCGAGTGCATGAACTCAACTCGGCAAGTTGGATGCATTTTGCCTTGGACTCGTCGAGTCCCTTCATGGACTCGGCGAGTCAGCTGGGCTGACAGCATCAAAACTCGATTTTTCAGCTTCTATTGCAGGTATAACAAGAAAACAAGCCTAGGCTTTGATACCACTGTTGGGTTATGAGCATTCTAACACTCCTAAGTGTACATGCAACCCTAAATACCTTGGATCTATGTTTTCTCTATTATACATGCAAATATGAACATCCAAGGTATTATCCTAATCTAGCATACAAAATAATGGATATAACAAGATAGAATACATACCTCTTTGATAGTGCTTGTCTTCATGAAGCTTGACTACCTAGTGCCCCAAGTGTGACACCTCAAATGGTTCACACAACACCATAAGCACTTGGAATAATTTAGAGAGAAATTAGAACACTTCATGAAATCGTCTAGCCCTCATACACACACATACTTACGATTTCTTGAGCCATGGGTTTCTTTTATATGGTGGCTATTAGGGTTACACCATGTAACTCATGACTTTACCCATTCCTTATGCTCCATGGATTTTAACCTCCATGGAGTATCCATGGGTCACCCCATGGACTTAGTCCAACATAAGGAATCTTGGATCACAAGCTCACATATATAAGAATGAATGATTTACACAATCAACCCATATATTTAATTAGTCTCCTTTTGATCACTTAATTAATTCCAAATTAATTCTTGATCAATACTAATTAAATGACCTTATTAATATATTAGAACTTATAATATATTAACAAACCTTAAGTGTTATTTCTCTCATTTTAGTCTATCCAAGTGCATGATGCCATGCAACCCAAATGGACCATGCCGGGTCGGGTCAAGTCTTACCAATTATAGTTATGGACTTAGACATTAATCCAACATTTTTGGCATAAGCTATTTATACGATGGGTGTACTATGTAGTACGATGCGCGTACAGTTCATTTGCCCAGTACGCTAGGCGTACAGACGAGGTACGTTGGGTGTACAATCCCAGGAGGACTTGGGCTTTAGTGGACTTCAAACCTTTTGGCTCTAATGGTTTTAGGCCTGGATTTTTGCGGTTTCTTGGGTCTGCATTTATATTGGGCGAATATTGGAATAGTTGGGCCTCAGTTTGGGCCAATCCTTGGATTAGATTGTTGTGGGCCTTCGTGGGTCAAATGGGGACAGGAATATTGACTAAGGAGAATATTGGGCTTTAGTATAAGGTCCATTAGAAAGGTCAGGGCCCAATTTGGAAAATTAGGCCATTGATGGTTTTATAGACATTATAATGTTGTGCTTTTGTTTTAGGTTTGGGCCTTAGTTTTGGATCATACTGGGCAAGGGGTAAAATGGTCATTTTACCCCATGCATGGATTAAGGATTATGGTATGGGAACCAATTACTAATTGGTTATATTGATTGGTAGTGACAACTCGGGAAGCTGACCGGGCAGCGGCTAAGGAATTCATGTGGGAGGCTTCTATAGTGCGAGGTGAGTCTTCTCACCATACCAATGGGTCGAAGGCACCAAGGCCGTCCCATTTATTTAGTTGTGATGATTATTGTGAATGTACTATCGATACATTATGTATTATGTATGTGACCATCTGCGGGTTCCCATGGCAATTAGTTATATGTGGTATGCTAGTTGACTGTGTGGTATTTGATATGCTAGTTGTCTTTGTGATGCTTGCATGGAAGACCCCGGGGAGTTCCCATGGTAGTGGATTGTAACCATGTGGGGGTTCCCATGGCACATGATATAAGACCCTGGAAGGTTTCCATGGCATCCCAGTACGTTTATTTTGCATGATTTGTATTTGGTAGTAGAGACCCCCGTGGGGGGGGGGGGTTTCTCGTGGCAGTAGATTGTGACCATGTAGGGGTTCCCATGGCACATGGTATATGACCTTGGAGGGTTTCCATGGCAACCCATATGTTTTTATGCATGGATTATGTGATATTTGTATCTTTTATAGCTAATATGGTATGTGATACGTGGATTGTGTGTAGGGCATGTTCCGGGGGACTCATTAAGCTCTGTGCTTATGGTTTACAGTTTTGGTTTCAAGTATCATCGATTTGGAAATGAAGAGCTTGGATTGATCGTAGTGCACACACCTATGGTTTCCGCAATGAATGATTTTGGGATGAACTCTGATAAATGTTATACTTAATGATGATTTGAATGTTTGAAATAAATAGTATCAATGTTTTATCTATATTCAAAATGAAATTTTTACCCTTGATTTTCGATTCGTTACATTCTTCCACTATTTGAAATCCATCCGACTCATATTCATCTTCTTCAAACATTTGCTCCTCATTGTCAGATTCAAAATCTTCGTCAAAAACTTCTCTCGGTGTTGAAGTTTTACGGGGTACTTGATTATTATTAATCCCAAGAGTTTCATCAATTGCTTCCATTACTGATTCAAGTTCAACTTCGTCTCCATCACCGTCACCTCCATCTATTATTCATTCTTGAGCTGCATGAGAATCATTTTCTAAAAGCACTTCCAAAGTCCTATCTTTTCTCCTTTTGTTTTTTTTCTGTTAGATTAGCATTGAATTGAACATAAACAAGATTGTTCAATCTATTTGTCTCCAATATATTATGTTTCTTTGTATGTACCTATAAAAGTACACATAACAAAAGGTTAAAAACGTTATTCATATTTAAAGATTACAACTTTATAACTAACTGCTTCAAATTTGATCTAATTCCTTTCACAACCCGATGAACTACTAGTTAAAGCAATGCTTTTCAAATGAGGAGTTGAGCCACCAAAAAGTCCCCACCATATTGCTATAATTTTAAAGAAAAAACACATTATTAAATTGATAGATATAAAATTCTATTATTTTATAAATCACTAAAACAAACATAAAGCACATTACCCGGATCAAAGTCGGCATTGTTCACCATACAACCTTTAATTGCAAGATCTACTCCAAATCTATCAGCATTTTCCTTGTATTTTGGCAAATCTATCATCACGACTTGTCTTTGTATATCAAAATCTTCATAAAATAATGTATCAAAAAATTCAAGAACCGCATCTATTACGTCGGGATAATGTTGGAGTTAGGAATCCTTATAATGATAATAAGGATTCAAAAGATAAGCTGTCAAATCTAATTTTGAATCTAGCCTACCTTTCATCTTGTGGTTTATGATATCTATAATAGGATTGTAATCTTTCTCGTTACCACCCAAAGCTTTCATAATTTCTTCTTTTTGCTACTATAAGCTCCCCATAAAAAAAACCCATTGAGGGCTTCCAATCTGTGTCAACCATTCGAAGGACTTCCAAAATTGAAGACTTTTCACAGTTCCATACGAGGCTCTTCCTTTAGGTGTTCCAAAAAATTTGCATTCCTCCCACTCGTTACTAGAGAACACATTTTTTAGTTGCTCCTTCTATTCGGATAAACTTTGTAATGTTAGAAAGACGGAAGCAAATCTTGTGACTCTAGATCAAATAATTTCCCTTTTCTTGGTATGGTTTATCATCATAGCCAAGGTTTTCTGGTGAGCATAAATGAAGATGGTTAATTTCTTTGCTTGATCTAATACTTTCATAAACCTTGGAAATCCACCGATACCTTGAAAAAATATATTATATAACAAATTAATGAATTATAGTATAAAATAAGACATGTAAAAAGCTAAAATAGTAAATAAGGTAATAAAGAAATATAAATACCTTCGAGCATAAGGTTAATTGTGTGTGTAACACATGATGTCCAAAAAATAGTTGGTCTTTTCTCTTGTAGTAGCTTTGCAGTTCCCATGTTATTCGTGGCATTATCGGTCACAACTTGAACAACATGATCGGGACCAACTTGTTGCATTCAAGATTCCACATAATCATATATATAATGGCTTGTATGTCATTCATTGGAACATTATTTTGATGATATAAAAACGGTACCCATTCTTGAATTTACACATAAATTCATAATGATCCTTCTCTTTCTATCAATCCAAGCATCTGTCATGATCGAGCATCCAATCTCTTTCCATTCTTCTTCGTTTTTTTTTAAAAAAAAACTTTTTGTTCTTTCAACCTTATGCTTTAGAAGTGGACCACTAAAAGAGTATCTGGTAGAAGGTGGGAGCCCTATTCCAAATTGGCCATCAACAACCTCCAACATCATCTTGAAGCTATCATCTTCCAATGCATGAAAAGGAATTGCAATTTTATATGCCCACCTACTAATGAATTTATGACACGCTAAAATTCTTTCTTTCTGAACAACATCGTTAGGATCAACTTTTTTTCCCTTTCCCTTCATAATTTCAGGGATTTTTTTGTTTGCACAACCATCCATAGGGCCTATATAACTTGGTGCTTCCAACCCTATAGAATCTTCTATTTCATCCATTTCAAAACTATCATTTAACAATTGTATTGCCTCCGATCTTAAGGCCTTATCATGTTTGTGTTTAGCTTTCTTTTTTATCTTCCCTTCGCTAATAAAATTTCTCATTCTCAATTGATCATCATTTGTAGAGTTTGGACATCAACTTACATTTCCCGACACATGACCAATATGTTGTTTCAATCTAGTAACCCCCCGGTAAACACTTTTCCACACAAGTTACATTTCACTGTATCATCTTGTTTTTATCCGGGCAAAAACCATATTCCCAGCCTATATCATCTGAGTTTCATTTATGAGCATCGATTGAGGTTGATCCCACCGATGGTGAAGTCGAATTTTTGGATGTCATGATTGGAAACTACTATATACACCAGAAAAATACATCAAAAATGCACCAGTAACATTTCACTGTGTCCATCTTTAGAAATTATAATAACTAATAAGTTAATAAGTTAATAAGACATTAACACAACAAACATGCACCGGAACTACAACACATCTTCAAAAATCAACATAACAACTAGATATCGACATAATTCTTATTCTCTTAAAAAATCAGCATAACAACTAGTCAACTAGATGATAGAAAGTCAATAAGATGCACGTAATACAAACAAATGTAAGAAATAATGAAATACGAAAAAAAATAATAGCTAGTCAACTAGTCAGTTAGATAATAGATGCAAGAAATATGAATAAAGCAAAAAAAATATTGAAAAACATGCAAACCGATGGGAGAAATATGAAGAACAGATGATTAGTAGTTGCAGAAATCGGTACCCAACAAACAGATGGGATAATTCAAATTTTTTTTGGAAAAAGTGAAAAACAAATAATCACAGAAATATCGCCTCAACATTAACTAAGCAATTTCGGAAGAAAAACGAATTTAGATGCGAGAAATAAGAAGAAAACATACATAAATCAACTCAGAAAACATATGACATTTGCTTCAACGATTGAGAGAGATAGAAATTGCATAGGTGAAGGCTGAAGCTTCGTCGGAGTATCTGTTCGCTGGAGTATTTGGTCGCCGGTGTACATGGAGGTTCGCCAGAGTCTAGTGGTCGTTGACTACAACTGTATCGCCAGTGTAATCTCTTACATTTACTTTAACGGTTGAGAGAGAAGTGATAAAAAAACAACAACGCTATGAAATACGAAACTAGGGTTAGACGAAATTAACATTTGACGCCTTTGGAACCTTTTTTATTAATTCTGACCACCTTTGAGATTTGACTAATTTTGACTTCCATTGAACATTATTAACCGCCAAGACCGTCAAACCCGTAGTTGACTGAAATTGACCAATTACTTTCAAACACCCCTAATCCTAATTGGTTGGAGAACGCCAAAGGATTAACCTATGATTAATTCCGATTTCTGCAACGTTGATTAGAATATTTCACGTATTTTAAAAAAACACGGTAATTTTTTTTAAGTAAAGAAAATGATGAGAATAATAATTAAAGAAAGAATTTTCGGATTTTTCCTTTTATTTTGCATTTTAAAATTATTTTTAGATTGCGTCTTACAGTCTCACAAATTTATCATAGTCTCAAATGAACATGGTAATTTTTTTAGGTAAAGAAAATGATGAAAATAATAATTAAAAAAAGAATTTTCGGATTTTTCCTTTTATTTTGCATTTTAAAATTATTTTTAAATTACATCTCACGGTCTCACAAATTTATCATGGTCTCAAATGAACCAAAACATATATATATATATATATATATATATATATATATATATATATATATATATATATATAATAAAAGTTCAAATAAAAAGAAAATTTTGGTAGTAAGTAAGAAATCTTTTTATATAGATAATTGTTTTAACAAACAAAAAAAAAATAATCATTAGTTGATTCAAAATTAAGATAACACACAAGAAAAAAGAAAATATATTTATGATTCATTTTAAGTAAATAAATAAAATTCACTTTAATGACAATTTTAGTGAATATTATAAAAATTATCGTAAATATGAATCAGCATGATGTTTTTTCAAGAGTGTTTTGGAATCACATTATTTTTATTTATCTAATGATTCATTTGTTTTGTGAGACAACAAAATATACCTAGAAAAAACTTATTATCTTTCTACAAAAAAACATTTTTCACCATATATATATATATATATATATATATATATATATATATATATATATATATATATATATATATATATATATATATATATTGGATTTATTATGATACCCACTAATTTTTTTATATCATTTTATGGTTGTATATATAGATTTTGTTTATATAAATTGTTTATTTATAATTACCAAAATTTTATAAAAACCGCTACAATCATGAAAAAACTCATGACAAGGGTTTGTAAATTTATAAGCTATGTAAAATTTTTTTATAAAATAAGAGCTTGTTTAATCAAATATTTTTTTTGTTTTAAATCTCATATTATTAAAACTCTATGGTAGATGTTTGTGTTTCACACAACAACATTTATACAATATTCTAGACTGAGTTTCAATCCACATTTCAAAATATGGAAATGGATTTTTACGAGAACTAGTAAAAAAGTTGCGGCTACGTCGCTTTTGGGGTAATATGGAAAAATCGGTAAAATTTAGAATATATGTGATGAAATTGTAAATCACCACAAATAGGGAAGGAAACCGACAACCCCTAAAATTAGATGTCACAAGTGTATAACCAAAAAAAAGACAATGGTGGAAAAAATCCAATAATGTTTTGACAGTAATTTTGAAGTTGTCGAAACATGGAAAATATGATAGTAAATTTCTAAATTAGGTTTTTTGTGTTTTTTATGTTAAAATGTAAAAAGTTTGACAATAAAGACCAAAAGTATCAAATTCATTAGAGATTTATGGTAAAAACACTAAAATATAAAACCTTTCACTGTAAGGACTAAAATTGTTAAAGTCACTAAAGATTTGTAGTAAAAACTTAAACACACAAAAACTTAATCAAAATGCAAAATTATAAACGTTTTAAATTTAGGAATTAAAAATGTCAAATTCAACTAACATTTGTGGTAAAATCCTAAAACCTAAAAATGTACTGTTCCTAAGCTCTTTTAGATTATATATATATATATATATATATATATATATATATATATATATGTGTGTGTGTTTACGTTCGTCAATTTAATAAATGAACGATATTAATAATTTAGTTAAACGAAGGAAAAAAATACAGATCTAATTCATTCATTTACGTTTGTGAATATTTTTATGTTTGTTTATGAATGATCGTGTACGTTGACTTGTGTTTATTTATTTATATTTATTTATGTTCGTTTAGTTATATTTGTTTCTGTTCTTTTACCTTCATTTATGTATGTGAGACTTATTATTTTCCTAAGTATTTATTTGCAAAACCTATTTATGGATTTTGTTAATCTACGTTCGTTTTTTCTTTGGATGTTTACCTTAATTTTATGTACATATTTATATATGGTTCATAATTTGGATGATCATGTTCATTTTATTTAAATATGGTTCTTGATTTTAATATTTATGTTAATATATGTCCGTTCGTTTATAATCTTGTGTGTTTGTTTAGCATCTTAACGACTTGGACAACAAAATTTGTTAGTTTATTTTTTTGGTGTTGTTTTTCTTTAACTTAACCGGAAAAATATGAACAAGCACTTGTTTTTATTTGTGTGGTTCGTTTACAATGATATCTATTATGTATATACTATAGACTTATACTCTTTTATATATATGATAACTACATGTTCCGAATTTGAAGCCATATGGTGTTGATATTTTATTTCTTAGTAAAGAATGATGAACTACTATATGGCATAGTGGGAATATCTAGGGGTGTAAACGAGTCGAGTCCGAGCCTAACCAAGCTCGAGCTCGGCTCGTTTAATTTTGAAGAAGCTTGAGCTCGAGCTCGAGCTCGACTTGTAAACTATTTAGTGAGCTTGTCAACCTAAACGAGCATATATATATATATATATATATATATATATATATATATATATATATATATATATATATATATATATATATATATGCTCGTTTAGGCTCATTTATGATCGAACTCGTTTAATTCGATCTCGAGTCGAGCTTTTAACGAGTGGATGCCGAGTAGCTTACGAGTAGCTCGGTTCACTTACACCCCTAGGAATATCGCACTTTGAATTGCTATTTTCTATTAATCTATATTGTATTGTAACTCCTGCAAGCAAGGTTGTACATTAATCTATTTATATAATTGATTCATTTCCCTCCAAAAAGACCATATTCTTAACATCTTTAATTGCTTTTTCCAAAACTCGAAGCATACCTTATACAATAAATGCTATACATCGCTTCCATTTTACGGATTTCGAACATATTATGATCATTTTAATATGTTTATGGCGCTAGCAAGGAAAAATGAGAAGTGATAGGTCATTATGCAACAAAAAACCGTACAAGACTCCAGTTTTATCGTCTCTACCTTTGGAATGACAATATCATTAGCATATTTAAGTGCTTCTTTTGGAGGTCAAAAGTAACAACATTAAGATCCACCATACCTTATGCACTACGAGTTGCACATAGCTTTAGATTTAACGATTTCCAACATTCAAGGTAATAATTGTAATTATGATATCTTTCTCTGTTCCACGAGTAAAAATTCAATTGAAAGTTCTATCTAACTTTAGAAGATTTGTCGATTTCTTAATTTCAAAAGGACGATATCTTTGATGCTCATCTTGTATACTCGAAAGCAATAATGTCACAGTCAATTGTACCTCCTGCAGTAAAAATTATACATCGGCTTCCCGACATAGAGGGGTATTATGGTAATTTTGAAATGTTTAGTGACTACCACAAAGGAAAAATGGGAAGTGATATGGCAGTACTAAAACAATCTATTGCGGGCTAATGCTAGGCTGTGGTGATGTTAAGATGTTTCTATTTTAAGAAGATTTTAATAGTGGGGCACTTCTTGTTCAAAGACCCCATTTCTATTTATAGAAACCTCTCTCTTTCTTGTGTTGAAAATGGGGTATGCTTTATTTGTATCCATTGCAACTTTGTGGGGGACCTAATGGCTTCAGTCAAGTAGGACTTTCTTGGAATTTCCTATGTATTCAGTGTA